ATGGTTTCGCGATAAGAGTGACGGACATATACATATATACATACTACCGCTGTAAATAATGAACACGTGATAAGTATAGGCGAAGTCGGTTAGAGAAGTCCATGTAAATCTTTAGTGTGCTACTAAAATGTTTCGTAAATTAAGTGGAACGTTTACACGTTTGAAGTGAAAATGTCGCGCGCTTGCACAACGCTGTTTTCAAAAAATGGAACGGAGGTACGGAAAAGCTCGGCAGCTATTCCCTGATCGCGAGTCCTGTGAAGTTGTCCAAAACAAAGTATTGCTTATACGATCTTAGGTTTTCTGTACATATTGTATACTCCATGTATAAACACAACTCTGCTAGTTGCGAAACCCATCATTGTAGCTAAATTACATTACGGATCATTATATCTATATCACTTCAACAATAAACAATTACTATGAGGACGAATGAGTTTGCTAATTTCATTTTTAGTCTACGCTACGTTTCCATTATTTATGAAATATAATATTTTAAAAGATTTCTAAACGTATAGATTCTAAATTAATGTATCGAATAGAAACGCGTTACAAAAATAAGAAAATGAAAATTTAAGTGAAATGAAATTACTAAAATTAATTTTAAATTTTCAAAAATTAGATGGAATTAACTGATTAATACACAATCAGCTTTGGTAAGGTCGAATTAAAAGATTTCAAGTCAAATCATTTTCTATGTGACGAAAGAATTCAAAAGACAATAATTAAATCAACAAGTTAGAATGGAGTTCATTCTTAACGATACCTCCTCGACAAACATTATTTTCTGTTCTTCCAAAAATGTTTTCAGAGAGATAACAGTGAGCAAACCTTGACATCGGAGAAGACATTTATCGTATCCATCAACGTCTACGAGGTATGAGTCAGGTCCACGTTGACGCCTCTTAAATAGGTTTCACCGTAATTCGTAGCAAGTATTAAAATATCCATTTCCAGAAATAAGACAACTTATAATTAATTCGTACGTTTTTCCAATGCGCAAAAGTAAAATTATACTAATTACACTTAAAGACACGTTTTACATGCGAAATATCTTACTAATAAGCAATAAATAACTTCTTAAAAATGAATAAAGTAAACAAATTTTAGTTTTGAATGTCTGTTGCCAACGAATTTACTGAGATGAATATTTTACAAAATGCACGAAAATAATTAAAAACTAATTTATTCAATGACTCGGAAGATGGAAGCATTGCTTAGGACGAGGAACATATAAAAATGGATTTAAAAAAATAAGGAGAATATAAGACGATTAGAAAATTCAAAGTCAATTATCTAGAAATAAAATAATTTTTGGAAAAAAAATATAACCGACTTCGGAGCTTCGATGTCTCCTCTTTTGCCTATCAGGCTTCCGTTCGATAACATATGCCTGATCCAGTTCACGATGCATTCCTCTATGTCAAATTCCTGGACCGCTTGTATCATAACTTCTTTTGGGGTGCTTTTGAAAGCTCCTTCGATGTCGATGAAGCAGGTAACCACCATTCCTTTCTCTGTAATGGCTTCTTCCATGTAGTTTATCATCTTGTGGAGTGCGACCTCTACGGAATGTCCGGCTCTGAACGCGTTCTGGCTTTTGTGTAGAGGTTTGTTGGTTAGATGAGTGTTCTTAATGTGAAAGCTTTCAGTGACGTGTAGTCTTCCTTACCGGATTTTGATAGGAAGACCACCCTGGTACCTTGCCAACTTTTAGGGATGATGCCTAATGCAACGCTTGCCCTGGCTATTTTAACCATGTAGTTCCCTGCTGTCTCGAACGTTATCCTCAGCGCCTTGGGGTAGATGCCATCAGGGACTGAGGCCTTGAAGGGTTTAAAGGATCTTACTGCCCATCTCATGACGTCGTTGTTCGCCACCTTGTTTGCTGTTGTCCAATCTGCTCGAGTATGGGTGTTGGTGTCTGTGGTGCTTCGTGTATCGGTTTCGGGTCTTTCGGGGGTTGGTTCTACCTCTTCTTCTCTTTCTTGGAACCCTGGGAAGTGAGTTCCCATTAGTAGTTTTATGATTTTCTTATCGTTTATTACGTATGCTCCATTTCCATCTCTCAAAGCTCCTAGTGTTTCTTGTGGGCGGCTTTCTAGGGCTTTGTGGAGTCTTGTGTTTTGCTTGAGCTGTGGAAGCTCGCGCAGAATTTCTTCCAGCTATTTCTCTTTGCTTGGACGATGTTTATTGTGAGTGATGTTTTTGCCGTTTGTGCTCTGTCCCAGTCATTGGGTTGTTTTTTTCTTTTAGCGATTCTGATGAGTTTGTTTAACAATTTCCTTTCTGCTTCTAGGTCATCGTTCAACCATGGTATGCGGTTGTCGTTCTTCACTTCTTTCATTATCGTACTGTCTTCCCATGCTGTAGATATGTTCTCCTGATACCAAACTGTAAGATCAGGCCAGAATTCCGATACGTACGGAAAAGGGGGCCCCTTGAGCTAGGCAATCCATACTAACAGATACGTCGAGCCGGTTGCCTGCTCGTAGGCGCAATCGGGCCACCTCTTCGCATATCATGTTCTCCTGACACCAAACTGTAACATCGGACCAGAATTCCGATACGAACCGAAAAAAGGGCCCCTTGAACTAGGCAACCTGTACTTACAGATACGTCGGACCGGTTGCCTGCTCGTAGGCGCAATCGGGCCACCTCTTCGCATATCATGTTCTCCTGATACCAAAATGTAAATTGTAATGAATATACGCATACTTGTTGAAACTTGTTGTAACCGGATCAGACAGAACTTTCCGGTAGATCTAATACATTAGAAGTAATCAATGTTGCCCCCTCCCCTCCCCCGACCCATCGTCAAAATAAATTCATCAATACCCTCTCCGACATTATTTTCACGTAGACAGTATACATCAGGGCGGCCCGCCTTGAACATTTTTGCGGCCCGCGAGATACATCGCACTTTTACAAAATATGTCTATTTTATAAGGGCCAAAGTAGTGAAAACCAATGTATTAAAGAAGTACATTAATTTTGCATGTATATGTTCATAAATTAGCTGTCGAAATTTTGAGGAAAAATTAACTTTGATTTTAAAATAATATCGCGTACCAGAAAGTTTTCATGAAACACGGTCGAAAAATGCCAAGGATCTGAAGAGCTGAAGGGCAGAAAAATGTCTATAATAGGTCTAAATTAGAGATCACGGTTTTGAACGGGTATTAAAATACACGGGTACACGGAACACGTGTATACGCTGATGCCCCGATATCTAAATACACGGATATCTAGGTACGCACACGTGCATCGAAATACACGGGTACGCACGCATACATCGAATTATTTAAAAAATGTAAAAATTTTAAAATTTTTTAAATTTTATTTATTTATTTTACTGCATATCAATTTATTCAAAATTAATAAGGATCATTATTTTAGAATAATAGCTTTTTTACACAAAAGTTTGTATATAAATATAATTGGATATTGTACCCGTATAATTTGATGTATACGTAGTCGTGTATTTCGATGGACGTACACGTACCACCTGGATATCCGTGTATTTAGATATCCGGGTGTCGACGTATTTCGATGCCCAGGTACCCGTGTATTAAAAATACACGGATTAAAACACGATCCATTAATTACCCGTGTACCCGAGTATTTCGATACACGTGAAGTAGGGATCTCTAGTCTAAATCTAATATGGGGATACATAATTTTATATGCGGCTGGCAAAGTTATGATGTATTTCGAAAGTGGCCCGCGAACTCATTGGGTTGGCCAGCTGTGGTATACATGCATATGTCGAATCCGCAAATCCGCCGTAGGTAAAGAAGTTACAATGAAGCGCAAGCGTCATCTACCGGCGCTATACGGAGTCCAGGAGTGGAGCGAAACCAGCACGAGAGAGAAAGGGAGAACAGTGTTTTGTTTTTAGATATGGTGGTGCTCGCTAGGCCTCCTGGGAACTGTACCGCGAAATTTATTCAAATTTAATTTAATTAGCCATTATGACGGATTCAAATCCAAACCCTAATGATCCTAATATCAATCAGTTAGATTCTTTATATACATGAACAGGATTTGATATTGCCGCCCGCACCAAAAACTAACTCAAGCACGAATTACAAATTTTTAATTTTGCTCAGGCTCCGAAAAGATTATTTAATATAATTTAGTATAAAGGGAATAGAAATTCAATATATAATTTAATAGAAAGAAAATAGAAATTATTTCATACTTTTAAGCAATTACATGTAGAGCTGGTGAGTATTCATATAAATTAACTAGAAATTATTTCATACTTTTTAGTGCAGTTTTAATATTTTTCGAAGTCGGTTATATTTGTTTTCCAAAAATTATTTTATATCACACTTTGTACAGTAAGTATTCGTTATAAAAATCCGTTATAAAACAAAGATTGATAGTTAATGTATTTAAATGTTTCTTCTTTTACAAGTTTTTCTTTTCGCTTTGCATGTAAAATACTCATTGACATATTTACAGTTTTATCTTTTTTAAATAGAGCTTCCTTTATTCTACATATTCATATGTATTGTTGTCAGATTAATAAATTTATTTTAGTACTATTGTGAATTCTTTCTTTTAAAACGAAAAATGGATACCTACAACTTCCTTATCCCAAACAATAAAGCAAACAACAAAACTGTTTACAAATATTTCAAATTCACTTTTTACGATTTTCATAAATCATTCATTCGGTTTTTTAAATATTACATTAATATATTTATCTCACTATTTTCACGAATTTAATTTCCTTTGATTAATTTTTCTCAATTTCAACCATCATACATGCAATTCGTATTACATAACTACTACATTATGTACATTGTATAATAATACATTATGTTACACTATTCTTTCAGTCTCTTATAAACTACATTTTTGAAACTTTGCGCTATTTTCTTTAATACATCAGTCGAACGGTGGCGGCGTTGGCATGTAAAGTCTTCTTCAATTCGCTTGAACCGTAGCACATCTAGTTTATGGGAATACGTATCCATAGTATTTTTGGTCCACATTCAACATTCCGCTGTTCGACCGATAGAGGAACAGCACTGTGGATTGTTTGTCAATATCTTCGAGTTAGTTAATTTTTACTGACTTTTATATGTAAAGCAATCAATTTACGATGACACGAAAGGCCGAAAAAATATCTTGACTGTAAATGTGTCAGAGTGTATAGTGTACGTGTATAGAACACACGGATAATACTGTCAAGGAGAACGTCGTATATGTGCAATAATGCTACTTTTATATGCAAGTCAGGAATTCCATCTGTTTCATTAAGGAAAAGAATGTTTGGAACTCTTGCATTACAAAGAGTATCTAATCTTTCTTAAATTAATTTTTTTATTTTATACGTTACCATGGATGTTTAATAAAACTACCAGCTTTCCAAGTGAAAAAATAAAAATTTATAATACAAAAAAAAAACGGATAACTCTTGACGATAAAAAAGTTCCATAAATTGGTACTTTTAATCGGTAAGTCCATAAAATAAATAATTTGTTATGTTATTTTCAATGAAAACTAATGCAATTAAGAATTTTATTAATGCCTCAATGCATTTTTTAAAGTAACACGATATGCGATTATTATTATTCGCAATTTTTTTGTTATATAAATAAGTATTTTTTTAAATTGAAAGGGATTTCTTGTTAGGATGTTCCTTATTTCATAATTACTAATAAAGTATTATATCATTTCTATCTTTTATTTGTTTTAGATACAATTTAAAAAATGTACATCAGAATGATACTACAAAGAAATATAGGTGGTTTATATAGTAAAGATGAATATGTCAGACAACTGTGTATCCTGTTTAGTTGATGCACAGAATATTGTCTTAGACAATTGTCGATTACCTTTATTGCATATCTTTAATCTTGCTCTTTTGGAGCAATCCGATTGTCATAAAGTAACCAGTGTTCATAAAATCACTTTTAATGAGGCTGAAAGCACATATAGGAAGGCTAACTCTCTTTTGAGAAAGTACAGTGTTCTACAACTGACTTTCATGAACAATGAACCATTCGGGAAGTGGAAAACGTCAGGCGAAGGTTTTGGAAGAAAATTATTGGGACTGCAGTGTCTGCACATATAGGAATACCGCAGAAGCATTTAAGTGCCTCATGTGTGACGTCCGCAAAGGAACTTCCACGCGGAAACCCCGCATTAATCCCCAACTTGTGGCACAACAGGTCACAATTTTTTATATTTTATTGTATTCCTTTATTATTTGTCATAACATTATGCCAAGATTAACATTTATAGGTTGCGCAGCAACAATATGTACCACTTTTAAAGCCAGGGAAAAAAGAAGGCGGAAGTGGAGGTAGTACAGCTAGTAGTGGTAAAGAGAAAGACCGTAAATTGGACAAACCACGACGTAAAAATAGGCATCCGCCGCGTCTTAAAAATATAGATCGCAGTACAGCTCAAACCAATGAAGTGACAGTAAATAACGTTACTGTCGTTATTACGGAATATAAGCCCAAAGTGAAAAAAAGTTCAGATCAGTCTGGTTTATCTAGCAGTGCTTCTTCTGAAAATGGAAGTCAACACGATTCTAATCAAGACTCTAGAAGTTTGGATATAGGAACTGATGCTTAGCTCAATGTGCTATATCACATATGTGTATGAATTAATCTAATTAATATATTATATATTGTATGTCAATCTCTATGGACTACGGTACATTCTGTAGACAAAAACAATTATTTTGTCTATGTGTTGCAGGTTATATAACATTTAATGAGGTCAGACGTTTTATGCTATCAGTGGAATCATTGAATTTTTATGACTTGAATATGAAATAAGAAATATGACGTATACATTGTTATTTCGTATTAACATCAAAATTGTCTGTTTCATAAAAATGATCTAGTTTATATCCAGATGCATTAACAGAAGTTGTACTTAATGTTATTTATTCTATAGTATCAGTATTCTAAATTACAAATTTAATATTTAATTGAATATTTTAGTTAATTTTGTTTGTGCAACTTCAAATATTACTTATCCATCTTATATAATATTGACTGTAACAAACGCATTATATGCATTAATAATGCATATAGAATTTGATATATCCATTGTTGCCATAATAATGTCCACATGACTTTCATTGAATCTATTAACACCACTGCCAGAAAGCATCTTGTAAGATTATTGTTAATTAAAATGTTTTAGCGAACTCATTTATGTATGAGTTATTTAACTTGTTTATTTAATAATTACTGTGACAGCGAATTAAGAAACTGGCATCGGTACGTATACACCTTTATCCCATTCCAAATCATTCGCTCCAAGCTTTATACTTTCATAGTGATTAATTCCATTCATGTAAAAATTTCTAGTTTGTATATGACAGTTTATGCAATTAAAGTATGTAACATAATATAAAATGGAATACGATACACAATTTTATATGATTCAAAAAATATTTAGTTTTGGAACTAAAATATTCATTAATTTTAATTGCTTATGCTTTTTTATTATACTAAAATACATCAACAATAATTTTTACATAATTTTTTTTTCTGTATACCTTATTGACACTAGGATGTAAAGATCTGCTATACCAATTGCAATTTGACCAATTTACTAAATATTACTTCTCATACTAGTACAATTAAAAAATGTTGATCATGTTAATGAGAAACTTTTTTTTATTCTTGTTATCATAATAGAGCATATGAGCTACTAAACTAGCACATGTTAGTAACTGCCCAATCACACGTAACTGTGATTTATAATTCTCATATTTACTTTTAAATATTCAACGTTATCAGGTATTTAATAAAATTGCTAAATTAAATCACACATAATTTTATTATAATAAGAAATTATAACTACAAGGACCATAGTAACAGGATTATTTTATAAGTGTATAAAATGACAAAATGCCATAAAACCAATTCTTTTTAAATTTGTGTAAAATATTTGTATGTTAGTTAGATTGAAATATAAATTGTAATTTGGCAATGAAGTTAATATTCTCCATTATAAACATGAAAGTAAATAATACTTTTATAACCATTTATATATAACTACTGCATTACCGGGATAATGAAGCATCGATGCATTATATAATCGTGCAATGTTAAAAGAAGTTTATAATTCAAGTAAAATGTTTGCAGGTGCCATTTCATGAATAATTTTTTCGTAAAAATGATAAAATTTATAAAACAAATGTTACACTTATACCGAAAAGGAACCAATTTTGATGGATTACCTTCAATTACTAAAACTTCTTACCTTTTTTGAACTTTTGTTTCATATATCTTTATTCTTGCAACAAATAAAAAAAAAGTTTACGCAAAAACTGTATTTTTGGAATTGTAGCAGAATATTGTTTCAAAACGATTTATTCTAAAAGTAATTCTTAAACAATACTAACTCGTTCAAAGCATTTAAAGTAATTTTATTGTTTCGTATATTTGTATGATATTGGATCAATACAAATCAAAAATGTATACCGATTGCCTTCACAGTATATCTCTTTCGATGTCCGACCGTTACACGAAGCCGTCGCATCGGCTCGCTGACATTCAAAGGTATAAAAATGTCAAAAAAAATTGAATTGGGTTTGTGTGTGTGTTGTAAATTATTAGAACAGAATTAATATGTTGTACAGATTGTAAAACTTCCGAAAAATACTGTTGGGATTAACATTATATTATTACAAGAATAAAGAATAAATTAAATGTTTTAAGAAGAACAAATAAAAATTTTAACTCGTCTTTCCGAATATACTCCTTTTTCACATTTTATTTATACCAATTAATATACACGTAAAAAATAAAAACAAGTACTTTCAACTTACAATTTTTACAGAATTTAGCATTGATATATTCATCATTTTGATCTTATCCATTTATTTTCTTTTTCTTTTTTTTACATAATGTATTAAGGCTATTATTAAGAATCATTGATTCCATGTCTTCAGTTACATCCATCATTTCTTCATGATTATTACTTTTTAATGTTTGTCTGTTTTCAAATCTCTCACGTACTATTTAAAGAAACATTAAGTGAAAAGAGTATCCGAACAGATATACAGTAGTACATGTATAGTAGTATCACGTTAAGTTGCCGTTGGATCAGAGTTGCCGTTAGATGATAGTCGTCGCTCCGTCTCGAGTTATACATATTAAAGTCTACCTCGCGTCAAAGGTCGTCAAAGAGAAACATATGAGTGAAAACTAGAATGTCTTAGCGTAAATTTGAAATGTTACAGCGATCGAACACCTATTTAAGTTTCCCGTGTCCGTGACTTTTTGTGACATCTTACTTCTATGCATTGAGTGAAGCGACGACCAGTTCCCCTGATCCGGTCCCTTTCAGTTTGTAAATACTCGGCAACTTAGCATAGTATTTACCACTATACGTGCATTGCACAACTTACCTTCTGTTATTCTCATAAAATTGAATACTTTAAGGTTATGGGATTTATTGTCACCACCAGCAATGAACACAAAGGGATCGTCCGGATTTGAAGCGAGACATTGTACTGCACCAAGATTACTTTTCTTTTCCCAAACAAGATACGGGTCTGTATGATTAATAATATCCCATACTTTTATGACACCATCATTTGCTGATGTAACCAGGAGGCCAGAACACGATGAACTCAAGGATAAACCTAAAATTGTAATGTAAAAAACTTATATGATAACAATTATAAATATATACAAGTAGTGTATGGGAAATATTATTCACATTTACCTGTAACTTCCTTTGTGTGAGCTTGGAAACTCCAAATTGGATCATCTTGTCTAACATCAAAATATTGCATGTACCCATTATCTGTACTTACCTGTAACAAAAATAACAGTTTCTATATTGTATTCTCTTATGAACTTTATAATTATAAATTTGAATATATTTAATACACTTACTATACAATAATTTGGGTCAAAGTAATTCCATAAAACTCTTTCTACTTCTCCTGATACTTCCCAAGATTTTGTGATTGTTTCATCTCTACAATCAAATAATCTCACTACCCTAAAAGTTAATGAATAGGAATATTTAAAATATAATTACAGAATATTATTTATTAATTAAAAATTAATGGACATACTTATCCGCACATCCAGTTAGTAATTGGTGAGTTTCTGTTGGATGAAATTTCAATGACTGTACTTTTTCACCAAAGGAAGCAAATTTATTAACAGGTGTACCATTTTCTAAATCCCATAACAGAACAGTTTGATCAACAGATCCACTAGCAAGTACATGACTGTAAAAAAATATTCCTATTATTATGTTGTAAATGAAAGTTTCAATTTAAAAATATACTAACGTATAATTTTCATTCCATGCTAAATCCAACACAGCATCTTTATGTCCAATGCGTTTTTGATTCTTTTTTTTACTTGGCTTACGACCAAGTTTATAAGCTGGTTCCAAACAATCTATTAAATCTAAATCCCATACCTCTATTATGGGAGTCATATTACCAATTGCACATAAATTACCTGTAATACAACAAGTTAATATTACTGAACACTGTATTTGTACAATATTTCATAATTACTTGGTTTTGAATCTGCTGGATCAAAGTTTAGCCACTCTATACATAATGGAAATGATGGTAATAATATATCATGATGACAATAAAATGAACCCTCCTCTTCATTGTAAACTGAAAATAATTGAAAAATACATTTTATAGGCATTAAAACTGCAAAATCATGAAACTATAAGTTATAAATTTATTCACTAATAAAATTAAAATTTATGCACAAACCAAATATTTCCAATGTACTAGCATCTCCTTCAACATGTCCTACTAGTACCAGGTTATCATCACTTTTTATACCATCATCTTCTTTCTCTGAATCATCATCATCCCCTGTAACCAATGGATCTTTTCCATGTTTTCCAAAACTTGCAATATTACCAATATTACAATGTACGTCGCCAGCTGTAAACCAAAGGACACATTAAATATTTTAATATGAATTTACATTATCATTAATCATTAATATGACATATAACATTGTATATTTTACATTCTTCGTCATATTTGTCAAAGTCATATTCATCAGCTTGAGATGTATCCAACTTAGATTTTGTTTTGCATTTTGGAGTAGTATCATCATCTTCTGCATCACTATCACTTCCATCACTTCTATAATAATACAAGTGTTTCTATAATTGTCAAATTATCTAGCCCTGAATAAAAAAAAACTATTGTATACTTACTGCAATTCTGATTGTGTTCCTTTTATTATTTTTTCTAATTCATGTGTTGTCAACTCAATCTAAAATATTAAAAGCAATGATTCAATATATAGAATGAAACGAATAAATGTAAATCTAGAGATACGTTTGGGAACAATTTTTTAGAAAACTCATTGTATTAAGATTAAAATTAATTAACATCTGTAATGTAAATAAAATATTGAAGAATTATTTAAAATTATTAACCTTTTCGGGATTTGTAGCTGCGACACCCTTCTTCACCCAAGTTGTACAAGGTATTATATTCATTTTTACTGTATATATTTATATTAATGTTTATATCAGTGATATTTACAATTATTGAAAATCTAAAATACTAACCCTAATAGACAAAACCATGTGAGAACATGTGGGAAAGCATTCCTAAATTTTTGGCGCCATTGGTGGGAAAACGTCCAAGTTTGTAGTGAAAATAGTTGCTATTGTTGCTGTTAGATGGCGACTGCATTATGATCAGTGGCGCCATCGGTGATAAAACGCCCAAGTTTCTAGTGAAAATAGTTCTCGCTGTTCTTTTAGATAGCGTCGTAAACTAAAGGATACAAAAAATTAATTGCAAAACTATTTTAATTTACAAGATAGTCATTTTAGAATCAAATGATTACTTAGCACGTAACATATAAGCTTTTACACTACTTTTTAAAAAAAATTAGTTAATGTCGCCATCTAACAGTAAAAGAAGGAACTATTCGAGGACAAACTTGGGCGTTTTCCCGATAGAGGTGCTGACCAAACTCCGAGAATAGTTCAAATTTTCGTCACTAGAGGCGCTGAATGTCAGAATTTTAGTTTTAGCTTCGCCGATAGATGGCAGATCAGTTCTGCGACACAATTCTAACCTTAAAATAGCAGATCTGAAATTTCATATAAACTTTTAAATTTATGTATTAATATTAATTAATGCTTCATTCAAAGAAAGTAACTAATTAGCTATTTAGTTCTTATTATAACATAATTGTTATTGAACAACTTTGTACTGTTTACATTCGTGAGTATACTGTCATATATATTTATATAATTTATCATTTTTAGGAAAGATTTTAGTAAATTAAATAAGTTGTATAAAATGCAGAACTTGTATATGAATTTCAGATTCGTAAGATGAATAGTTCAGTGGATCCTAGACGTCCAGAACGAGAGGTTCGTTACAAACCCACAGCAATGAGTAGTCAGACACAACCAGGCGATTATTCAACGCCAGATTATATGAACATATTAGGAATGATTTTTAGCATGTGCGGTTTAATGATGAGATTGAAGTGGTGTGCATGGGTTGCACTATATTGTTCTTGTATTAGTTTTGCTAATTCTAAAGTGAGCGACGATACTAAGCAAATTCTTAGTAGCTTCATGCTGTCCATATCGGCAGTTGTAATGTCATACTTACAAAATCCACAGCCTATGACTCCACCATGGGCATCGGCAATGCAATAAAAGTACTACAAAATGTCTGTGATGTTCCAATTATTTAATATACTCCTTGAAACATTTACCTTGTACGGTATAGTATAGATGAAATGTTGACATAAATGAAATGAATTAATGGCATGCAAGCATTACTTTTTTTTATGTTTATATTACAATTCTAATACAACAGGTTCAGAGTAGAAAAGAAATTAACTGGGTATTGAATTCATCTTTTTATTTCTTAAAAAGTATTGTACTTTATTACATTAAATGAACTTTTCTCTATGTATCACTTTTTTCTAATTATATTCTACAAGTATCACTTACAGTAAATCCATTATTATTCATCCTAAGTGCATATTATATTTAATAGAGTTAAATGGATCATGTATATTCTTCCTACTTTTTACATAAATACAGTGATTTTAAAGTTTCAACTATTACGAGACTGTCAATGAAAATCATGCTTTGTCGTTCGTTCTTTAGTAAGTAATCACCTTCCTTTAACGACTACATATATTACATTTTATATATAATTTACGTTTTCAGTCCCATTTTTCCATTTATTAGATACATAGCAAAAAAATAACAACAATTATTTTCGATGGTGAAAAATCAATGGAACTTGTTTAAGTAAACAGTTAACGTAACGTAACATGGCAAAATTATACGCGAATGATTGCAAAGGGTAGATCGAAATAAGTCTAGTTCTCCTTAAATTTCTCTTGATTCTGTTAAAAAACTGTACAAAATGTATCATTTAAAATTCTCGTATCAACGATATCTATGCAGAGTAGGCCAGTGCAACTTTCGTGCAATGTTCATACGTTTTCACCATGCCACAACAATCTGTAATTACAAACGAGACGTCTAATAAAAAAATTGATTTTTTTTTCAAATAGCAAGGCATCACGATTCCCGTTAACCATCCGTGTAATACGTTGCCCTTCTCCTGCTAATTTCCTGTACGCCCTTCTGTATTTCGCTATTATTATATTATTATTATCGTTTGGTTGGCAGAAAATTTGTTGAATCAGAAAATACATTGTTTCATCGAAGAAGTTACTGTACAAAAACAGGAATACGTTCTACGATAAAACTTGAATATTCAAATTTGACTATCTACACCTTACACGAGAAATGTCGCAAGATCCTTTTACATTTTACCCTCGACTTTCGTCTAATCTTAGATTATAGTATAGATCTATCGAATGCGCACGGACTTCAGCGAAAGGTCATATAAACAGAGGCTACGATGCGTGGCCCCTTAATTTTAGAATATCTCGGAAAGTACATTCACTCCGGAACTTGCGAAAACGATTCTGAACAATCACACGAAGATGTGATATTGGCACAGATACCTAACAGTTATTTTACATTTACCACCTCCCCTTCGTGGTCCCCGGTCGGTCTAACTTCTTCCGATCAAACACTACTCTCGCCTCGACCAACCAGCGTGATCGGATATACATATTTCTTCCGTTTCGTGCTGAAGAAGGGCGAACTGTGCTGTCCGTGCGTGGGCGTTGGCGAAAGTCCACGCAAAAGGGGTAAAGAAGCGTCTCCGCTCATCCCCGTCGCATCGAATTTCTTCTTCCATTCCGCCCCTAAATCTGTTGCTGGTGCCATCAGGCCCTTACACTCTGGAGAACTTCTCACGCTGAGGAACACGTCGTTACTGCTATCGCGTTGTCCAGAAGAACCCTGAGACACGGATTTATTTTTCTATTATGCGTCATTAAAGTTTCTTAAAATGTATTATAATATTTTCGATTAATGTCTGGAGAAAGCTAAGTTTTTCAAATTGTACTGTAGCAATTATTCACAGGTTATATGTACAGTGGGTGTAGAATGTATTCATACACTGATCAATTTCTCAAAAAAACTTTTGTGTGAAATTGTAGTTTCTTAACTTCTTTCTTTATAATCAATGATATTTTACATATTCTCGGAAGTCTCTAAGATAGATATAGTCCAAACAACATTTACTAGTTAATATAATTTATGAAATTAACAAAAAAATGCGAAAAGTGGGTAAAAATATAAAAGCAATAAGTATTTGTGTGATTCTTATGACGAACCATTTACAGTAGAGTTTGTAACGTAAACACATTAGTTTATTGCTCCGTAAGAATTAGAAAACATCAAATTTCCAGTAAAATACTTTTAAAAATGGCTCTAATAGAGGAATGGAAAAAGATCCCATTTCGTATAACTAATAATATAGTTAATTTAATGCTTAGAAGAGTTACAATAATTATAAAATCAAAAGGAAATCTCACAAAAGAAGTACTATATACTTGTAAATTAATGTAAATTTCTTTTTTTTTAATCAAGTTTTAAAAATTAAACAGTTGTGCGATTACTTATTGCTTCAACATTCCTATCGATTAATTGTTTTTTTTTGTTTTTTTTTTTTGTTAATTTCGTAACTTAGATAAATAGCTATTTTTTTGTAATCTATCTATTCTAGAGATTTCCGAGAATATGTAGAATGTCATTGTTTATAAAAAAACAAGTTAATAAATTACAATTTCACATAGTTTTTTTGGAAATTGATCGGTGTACGAATACTTTCTACACCCACTACATACAGGGTGTTCAAAAAAAGCATTCAATATTCATATGGTGTATAGAGCACACTGTACTGAGTAAAAAAGCTTTAGTAAATATAGGTCCAAAGGTCAACCGTTTCTGAGATATAAACATTTTTGTTTGCTATTATCATGAAAGAGCACTTAAACACGATGTTCGGTCAAAAGTGGATTGGACGTGGTGAATCAGTTGCATGGCCTCCTCGATCCCCCGATTTAAATCCCCTGGACTTCTTTTTATGGGGATATTTAAAAAGCCAAGAGTATTCCACGCCGATAAATGACTTAGAAGAACTACGTAACCGAATCCACCATGCTTGTCAAATAATTCGACAGAAATGTGGGATTTTTGAGAGAGTTCGCGACTCTGTAAGAAGAAAATGCCAAGCGTCTACAGAAATGAGCGGTGGGCACGTGGAAAATCTTCTATAAATATCGAAAACCCAGTAATAAGTCAATCATGATACTAGCAAACAAAAATGTTTATATCTCAGAAACGGTTGACCTTTGGACCTATGTTTACTAAAGCTTTTTTACTCAGTACAGCGTGCCCTATACACCATATAAATATTGAATACTTTTTTTTAACACCTTGTATATAGTAGGTGTAGAAAGTGCTCATAAATAAATTAACGCATTCGCGAACCGATAACGTGAATTCACGTCACTTTAAATTCTATTTTTGATTATGAAAAGCTTTTTATTTTATACGCTACATATTTACAACATTGATATTTCAAAGTGTATTTCGTAATTTATATTTTCGCCCTAACGATACAAATTTGCGTTGCCCAGCCTCAGAATTTTATTATTTTCGTCAGTACTCGGTATTAGAAACGTAAGAGCACTGCGATAAAATCATTTGATAATGTAATTTAACGTTCTGATATATATTCTTGTATTTTGTTAGTAATTTTCAAAATTCTATAAGATTATTCGCGTACATGAGACCCATTCTCCTTTGTTTAATCTTTATACTGCTGTAATGCTGAACTTCATCACCGTTTCAGATGTAATATCTAAACCCAACGTTCTACCTATTAATTTTCATTTTAGTTTGGAAAACGCTACCCCAATCAGTGTAACTGCAGTTAAAACTGTACAGTTCAGTGAACGTTATAGAATTCCGCGATTATGTAATGTTTGATGAATAATGTTACACCTTTGCTTCGTAAAAGTCTAAACTGGAACCATTCGTCTCGTTTTCCTCCTCAGCGTAACCAGGTGCAACCTGGTTCGACGTGTGCGACGCTCCAGAGGAATGGGAAGAGGTGTGCGACGAAGAGTTCGACAAATCGTCTCTGCAGCAAGCAGCTGTACATACTCTTTGCTCTCTGTCAAAATTCGACGAAATTAGATTAAATTCCACATTAGCGAATTTAATAC